TATCAGTATAAACAAAAAGAAATACAAAATATATGTCCCCCACATGAATGAAATTTACGGAAAGGACATACAACAACATGCAGACAAAGAGAGAGTACATTATGGAAATATCCTGCATCGGGATAGGTAGCTTTCGGCTTTGAACCTTCCCTAGTGAAGGCCTATCGGACTTACTAGCTAATCAGTGGACGTGATGCCTTGAACTGTTCAGCCGTTTGTGTAAGCCAAGACAATAGAATTCACACAGAATATCTTCAAACACAGCTTAGTTCTCACGGTTGTGCCCGTTTTGGCCTTGGGCAAGTCCTGGTGTTTCTTGAGTGCTTTAGAGAATTTAGCCTTCTCAATTCTCATAGAAGCGGCCCCTTCATACTCATATAGGTGATCCTTATTTTGAGTCTCTTAAATACTCCTCTTGAAAGATACCTCTCTAGGATTTCCAAGATATAAGTAATCATTAAAAGCATAGCTTACCCTAAGTTCCCTGCATACAACACATGTTGCAGATATCACTCTCATCATAGGAATGGATAGGAGTTAGACTCCTTTAGTGATTTCTGGCAAGCCACACATAACTTAGTTGTCCCTTTGAACTTAGTTCTTGGGATCTCCAGTCATCTAAGTAGGGTTACCATTATGATGGCTCTGATGTAATAGAGCTTTAATCACATTCCCCTCGATAAACTTTCCTTCATTTGCTCTCTGGTCAAACTTTTTGTTTAGCGGCCGCTATTTTTTCCATTTGACCTTCTTCGTCAGATATCATTGAGTAGTTAGTGAATCCATTATATTATCCTTACACAATATTCACAACTAAAAGCAAATGTCATACGGTGTTAAGTCTTTGATTACATCGAGACTTATCGTTACTCTATGTCACTCCCATTTAAATAATAAATATAGAGTTGTTCCTTAGGAGTTAATGAAACCATTATTGCTTCTACTCCAACTTTATCCTATATAAAGAATTGAGATTCTTTCTGAACCTATTATCGGAACCGTTACTTTGGTAAAATTCTCCAAGCACCCCCACATTTTAAGCATTCTAAGGAAACTTAATTCCTCTTGTTGGTGTTTAATAAATACACCCCCACAATTCTTAGATAAATCAGAATATATAATTGGCATGCTTGAACTAAATAACAAGATGTGAATTGCTTTGTGAATATAATCACAATACTAATTTTGTCTAAAATACAATTAGACTTCATAACTTGCTTTTGCAGTACAAAAAAGAAATGACTAATACCGGGTGTGGCCACAACACTTTGTCAAATAACATTTCTTTAGCCATGATTAATTTCTTTTTGTTTACTGCAACCCTTAATTCCAATCTCAACATGGAATATAAATATCACTGTATAAATACATTTACATCTTATTTGTCTTATCCAGTATTAGTGACTACGTTGATAATTACCAAAGTGTCTTTTACCCATAAAATATTTTAACTCATATAATATTTCATTACAGAGTTATCGGTCACCACACCAATTTCACAGTCATTATTCCAAAGAATAATTAGAATTCCTCTTATGTCAAAACACATAAGTTCACATTTTTATCAACACTTTGATAAATAATTGACATCCATTTATAATACACCACATACCAAATTGATATTAATGGCATCATAATTTGATTGTCAACTCTACAACATATGTAGACATGGACAAGATTAACAAGTCAATGGAATAAGATTAATTTGCATTAATCTCTCTTCCCCCACATTTGTGATAATACATAAATTAGCACAAACAACATGATAAATTATATTTTTCTTATAGTTTGGTACTATTTTATCCAACAATAAGTTTTATTACGTTATTATGTTGATATATTTGAGTTTTTGGTTTTGCCCAAAAAGCATTTATATATTTTTAAATTATATTTTTCTTATAGTTTGGTACTATTTTATCCAACAATAAGTTTTATTACGTTATTATGTTGATATATTTGAGTTTTTGGTTTTGCCCAAAAAGCATTTATATATTTTTAAATTATATTTTTCTTATAGTTTGGTACTATTTTATCCAACAATAAGTTTTATTACGTTATTATGTTGATATATTTGAGTTTTTGGTTTTGCCCAAAAAGCATTTATATATTTTTAAATTATATTTTTCTTATAGTTTGGTACTATTTTATCCAACAATAAGTTTTATTACGTTATTATGTTGATATATTTGAGTTTTTGGTTTTGCCCAAAAAGCATTTATATATTTTTAAATTATATTTTTCTTATAGTTTGGTACTATTTTATCCAACAATAAGTTTTATTACGTTATTATGTTGATATATTTGAGTTTTTGGTTTTGCCCAAAAAGCATTTATATATTTTTAAATTATATTTTTCTTATAGTTTGGTACTATTTTATCCAACAATAAGTTTTATTACGTTATTATGTTGATATATTTGAGTTTTTGGTTTTGCCCAAAAAGCATTTATATATTTTTAAATTATATTTTTCTTATAGTTTGGTACTATTTTATCCAACAATAAGTTTTATTACGTTATTATGTTGATATATTTGAGTTTTTGGTTTTGCCCAAAAAGCATTTATATATTTTTAAATTATATTTTTCTTATAGTTTGGTACTATTTTATCCAACAATAAGTTTTATTACGTTATTATGTTGATATATTTGAGTTTTTGGTTTTGCCCAAAAAGCATTTATATATTTTTAAATTATATTTTTCTTATAGTTTGGTACTATTTTATCCAACAATCTTAAGACAGATTCGTCCTCCCACCGGTGTTTAGGATTCAATGGACGTCTATCTCCCAGGATACAACGATCAATGTCTTGCACTAGCAGCACTACTATTGCAAGCCTAGCGAACTTTGCTGTGCATGAACTCTCTTTATAGGAAAATTAGACTCAGGCAATATGAAGAATAAATGCAAAGTGAAGAAGAATGACAATTCACTGTCCAAAATGAAGTGAGGGACATGGAATATAAAGACTTCTAAGTGACTCTTCAGAAAGGTTGTGATCCTTCAAAAGGACACACCCTTTCATCTCAAGAGACACAATCATATGAGTAAATTTAAATTCAAATTTTCCAACAGTTATGACATATTTTCAATCATTAGATTGAAAATCCTATCCATTTAAAGTGCTATGTAGGACATTTTTTCAAAAACCTAAGTGTTTTATTATATATAAAAGCTCTGCTTGATTTTATTCGAACTACGATTTTTTACAATAAATTCTTTAGTCAAACCGTTTATACGGTTCTTAAATTTTTTTAAACTGGAACCAAATCAATCTTGTACAAAATCGAACCAAACCGTGCAATTTAACCTAATTCGAACTAACTGGTTCTACAAGATTTTTTATACAACCCTAACTAAAATAACATGCTTCTTGGGACTTGGAAAATAGGAATATTAGCAGTTAATTAGGAAAACATTAAAAAATAGGTTGTTATTGCTATGTTTATAACAATGAGGATGAGAATAGCTAAGTTTTGTTATGTAATGTTTGTAACACAATTGATGGAAATAGAACACATTATACTATAAGAACAAGATATCTACACATAAAATTTATATAAAAAAATATTACAAGAATAATGTAGTAATGACATTACTATAAAAATAAGACATTTTTATGAGTGTTTTGTTTTAAAATAAAAGACCACCATTAAATTCCATAATTATGTATGAAAATTTCGTATACATTTTGTGTGTGTATATCATCACTCATCACTCTATACAATATATACAAGCAAAGCCTAGAAATGAAAGAAACTGATCATTATGATGTGTTTGGAAGGGTTTTAGTTCTACCCCTACATTCTAGTATGATATTTGGTTTGAGTTTTGAAAAATTAATTCCACCCCTCCTTTTAAAAATTCGTTCTTAGCGGGCTTTTAAATTTTGAAATTTGGCTTATCGGTCGTCTCCTGAGACGTCTGGCCGGCCGTCCGGTTGACCTGAATAGTGTGATTTTTTTTTTTTTTTTGCAATTGGCACTTCTTCTTTTTTTAATACATATTTTTAATAAAACAATATTTTTGAATTTTTTTTAAAAAAAAATTATTAGCTTTTAATAGATTTTTGAGTTGTGTGTATGGTTATGAGTTGTAAATTTTTATATCAGATATCAAATGTCACATCAAAAATTTCACACTCAATTCAAAACCCTTTTCAAAACTCATTCACCAAACAAATTTTCTGCGCTCAAATTATATCAAAATACAACTCCTATTCTCAAATCATATTTAGAAAACTCTATCAAATGCTAATTTTTTTTTTTTTAAATGACCTAATGATGAAACTCCCACTAATACGGGAAATGGAGACAGCAAGATGTAGGTAGTTTTTTTTCTTTTTTTTATTTTTATTTTTTATTTTATTTTATTTTTTTGAGAGGAAATTAAGAATAAAGACTCCCACTAGTATAAAATTTGAAGAGAACCAGATGTAGAATTTTTTTTTAGAGAGTTTTTCTTTCTTTCTTTCTTTCTTTTTTTTTTTTTTTTGGGGGAGGAAATTAAGAAATCAAGAATAAAGACTCCCACTAGTATATAATTTGAAGAAAAACCAGATGTAGAATTTTTTTTTAAAAAAAATTTCTTTTTTTTTTTTTAAATCAATCAGTGGAAGAATATTACATTTTACACAACCTTATATGAGAATGTACCGGAGTGACTAAGTTAACCAGTTGAGGCCCTCAAGAAATCCAAAAAAATAAAAAATAGAAACCCTTTGTGAAACTTGCTTAGTGGGAATACAACATGGAGAATAATCTCTCTGCTAGTTACTTTTCTAATAACTTTTTACTTTCTTAATCTAAAAAAATTGATAGCATTTAGTAATGGCTAAAAAGTTACTTTTTTGTTATGATGAAAGTTTTGTGGGTAATTTCAAACTTTCGCTTTTGATGAAAAATTATCATATTATTCTGTAGCTTTGTATTAGGATTGCATACAGTATGTATTGCACACTGAAAATTTTCCAATTTAGAAATTGCCAAACAAAGAATCATGTAAAAAGCTAGTCAAACTCATCACTCCTCTTATACCCAACTCTGTAGTCTGCTATACTTGTATCACACTCTCTGTATTCACAAGCCAATACTGTCCAACAAAAGAAACAAAAACAAAGAATTCATTTCAGTTCACAGTTTGATTCTTCACCACATGGTTACATATATCCTACTCAAAATGCATTCACAAATACCTGTCAACCGCCCTATGAATATCAACAATTGTGAGTGTAAATTGTTACCTCACTGAGGCTCCAACTTTGAAGGTGGAAAGGCCCCGCTATAAACAAAGAGACTTTCATCACTGTAAGGATGACTGTACCCTCTGCTAACCCCATCAAAGTTTGCTGAAGTGGTTGCCGATTCAGCATTGGGGTTCAAACCAGCAATTCGCATAATGTTCTCGATCTCATTTACCACCTCACCCATTGTAGGCCTCTGGCCTCCTGATTCTTCAACGCACCTCATTGCCAGATCCACGAACTTCTCTAAACCCCCCAATGTAGTGCCCAAAATGGCTGTATCAAGAACGTCATGAAGATTATATCCAACTTTTGTCTTGTCCATTTTCTGTTTCACCTCTCTCACAATGTATTTGCCTTTCTCAATCGGCTGTCTTGCAGTTATCAACTCTAGCATTACCACTCCAAAGCTATAAACGTCACTCTTTTCAGTCAACTGATTGGTCATGTAATATTCAGGATCCATATAGCCCTACACCAATAAAACAATTGACATTTAGTCCATAATCCTAAGCCATATCATGAATCTTCAAAGAACTCAAAATTGTAGCCCTATGGCTCCATAAATTTGTTGAAAGTGTTTAAAGTTTTTTTTAGCAAGTGCAGAACAATGTATAAGGCATCCAATAAATTTCACCCAAAATAAATAAATAAAATAAAAGACACAAACATTTTTGTGATTTCTTTTCTTCTCTTTTTTCTTTCTTTAAGGTGGGAGAGCATGGGGAGCCAATACATCAACCAGCTACCACCAGACAAAAGGAGAGGGGGAAAAAAAGGATTAAAAAGCAATTGCTGTTAATGGGAAGAAATTACAGAATCTGTTTAGCAGACATACAGATCGAAAATGCTAAGCATAATCGTTTTTCGTGAAACACAATAGGTTCAGTGTTTACCGGATGGGAGTTCTGTGACTACTTGAAAACCATCTCACAAGAATTTTTCTCATAATTGAGAACTAAAACAAATGGATGTTAACTATGGTTCCGATGAATTTTCTAAATCTTTATCCTACTCCAAATTTATAGCAAATTATTGTTCTCTCATAAACAGGGTTTGGAGAAAAATTTACCGACCATTGTTCCCTTGACTTGAGTGGTAATATGATCCTTTTCTGAGTCACCTATAGCTTTTGACTTGGAGAGACCAAAATCAGCAACTTTTGCATTCAAGCGTTCATCCAGCAAGATATTGTTTGTTTTGACGTCCCTATGTATGATCGTAGGGTTGGCAAGCTCATGCAGATATTGCAAACCTCTTGCTGATCCAAGGGCTATTCGAAGCCGCCTCATCCAATCCAACCTGATTCCTGACTTCCCTGCACAAGTAATATGTATTTTAGTTATTTATTGTTCCATTGGATGAATCCAATCCCCAAGATTATGGCTCTGAATCATAATGAAGTTTACGAACTCTGGGATCCCTTGTTTTGTTATATTTGTTTTCCTTTCCTTTTGCTAGGGAAGATATGTGAAACATTCAAGTTTCAACCGAGGTTTAAGAAAGATGAGGCTGCAAAAGGATTTTTGTTTCCATTTTCAAATATAGTGAATCTTGTATCCTACAATGAACTAATGCAATGCATTCACTCACAGAAAAATGATAATGAACATGCTACTTTTGCAACGAAGAATGCCATTATATTCATTAACCACTAATAAGCAAGGACATGGACACATAAATATAACATTGACAAATCGATATAGGTATTTTCAAAAAATGTATGACACGACACACAAGGGATATGACCAAACTATAAATCAAACCAAATCAAACCAAGTCTCAAGTCCCAACAAATGGGGTTGGCTACATGAATCATTCTCCACTCAATTCTATCAACGGCTATTTGGTTAGTCAAATTAAGGAGATTCATATCTCTATTTACCACACTCACCTACATCAATCTAGGTCTGCCCCTTCCCTTACTATTTTCATCTACCGTCACTGTATCACATCTCTTCACTAATGCCTCTGTTGGTCTCCGTTGTATATAACCAAACAATCTCAAACTATTATCTCTTAATTTATCTTCTATTGGTGCTACTCTAACCCATTCATGAATATACTCATTCCTAATTTTGTCTTTTGTAGTCTTGCCACACATCCACTTTAACATCCTTATTTCAGCAACACTCATCTTATCTATGAATATTTAATTTAAAGATGATAATTTTTAAAGTCTAAAGTAGAAGAATATATATATATATATATTATGTTGTTTTATTTTATTATTGGATTCCTAATTCCAAGTTATTTTATTCAAACTTGTAATGTGTTTTATATGTTTAAGCGATACACGTGTTTCCCAAGTGTCTAAAGCATGTCTACATCTACAATTCTTTTTTCTTTTTCTTTTTTTTTTCTTTTTTTTTTTTTTAATATTAGGTATGTATGGACGTGTGTCCAACAGGTAATGGAAAGTGCCTGACGAGTGTTCTTGTCGAGTCTTTGTCTGACACAGTGTCCAACACAACAAGCTCAGAAGTGTCCATGCTTCTTAGATTGACCATAAAGTAAGCAATTGCAGTTCAACTAGTATCAGCTTCAATATTGATAGAGAAGATTAGGAAATTAGGTGTAAGTACCTAAAAGACTCTCCCTCAGTGTACCGTTAGGAATATACTCATACACCAACATTTGTTCGTCTTGCTCAAAACAGAAACCCACCAAGCTGACAATGTTCTTATGATGTACCCTCGATAGAAGCTCAATCTCACTTTTGAATTCAATACCACCCTGCATGGATCCGTGTTGAGCCCTTTTGACAGCAACCAATTGCCCGGTGGGAAGAGTTCCTCTATATACCTATAGATAAAATGAAATGGTGAGAATATGAAAGCTATACATCACTAAGAAATGCTTTTCAAAATATATTAAGACAGATGAGAAATGTGTCGACAAGAAAAACTAAAAATGAAGGAAAGATACTCAAACCAAAGAAATATCTACATATATATAGAATTGTTTTTCAGAATTTTCCGAATGACTTTGCAAGTAGATGATAGTTTAGTAATTATTTGATTTATCAATGAAGAGATTTGCAAACAATCAAATCTCCAGCAAGAAGAATATAAGAAATTAACCTTTCCGTAACCACCAGATCCAATGCTGTTGGCTTCTGAAAAATTGTTTGTGTATTTCCTAAGCTCTTCAAATGTGAAATTCCTAGCTCCTTTTAACTGTGGAACATCACCATCGCTTTTACTTGGGTCCCAAGAAGCTACATTGGTATGACATTAGTGCAACATAAGAAACCCAAGAATAAGATATGATTATAGGAAACAAAAATGCTATATGTCACTGTTTTGTTATTTTGTATCACCAACTATTTGGATACTCACGATTGGTTATTGAGAAAATAGTGAAAAAGAATAAGATCTTGCCATGTACACAGTGAGGGGAAAAAAAAAGAAAAGAAGAAAGGATGATATATATCATTGCTCTACATGAAAAGGCTTCATTAAAATTAAATCCTAATTTTACCAAATGGATTGTTCTGTTTATCAGCAATTTCAGCTCTTCTCTTTTGACGGAAAGCATAAATTCCTGCAAGGAGAGACAATAGCAAAAGGACAGAACCACCAACTGCTGCTCCAATAATTATGCCAGTACTTGATGACTTGTTGTTAGTTCCTGCAGATCCTTTGGACAAGAGAGGGGATAGAGATTAGACTGAGGCCCAACAGATCTGTAACATATTTTATTCATATCACATTTTTGTGTAAATATTAATACCTTCAAAATTCCCATACATGGCAGCATGGAAAACATAGGGTCCAAATCCAAACTTTTCTTCAGGCTTGAAAGTTTGGTTGACAAAGAAAAACCCAATCTCATAAATTCCTGTTCGATTGAAATAATCTTGGCCAGATGGAAAAATTGTGACATTTAGCACAAAGTAATTATCTGAATCCGCAGTTAGATTACCCAGAGAAACTGAATCCACAGGGAGTTTAAGTGACTGGAAAGAATCCATCAGAGAATTCGTGAGAGATGTGTAGATTCTTGGGTTTCCAAGGTATGAAAAGGAAAGAGCTCTGAAGACTATGGTACCCGTGTACGGATATTCACATACACAATTGGGACTGGCAATTTTATCTGAACTGCAGGTGGTAGACATACAATTATTTGTTTGTGGTGGATATAAGGGATTATACTGTTCAACGGTACAATATTTATTTTGTGATGCTCCCGTGCAATATGGATTTTGTCCAAGTCTGCAGAAGATAGATAGAGAAGAATACCAATGAGGATGAGGTTATAAACACCATCTTGTAGATAGAATTGCCAAAGAAAGGTTTTAAATATCGGCTGTTATGTCTCGGGATTTTAAACTTCCAGCCGTTGTTTATCAATATATCAGCTGATATTGTCTAATATTGACTCATATATGAACCATATTGATGATACCGATACATATGCTGATACCGTTATTTAGAATCATGGCCCAAAAAACAATATCGAGTGCTACTTACATTAACTCAAACTTGAGTCCCGCTCTCTCTGTAAAGCCATCTATCGAATTGTTCCACAAATCTATAAGTTGCAGTTGGCTGCTAAAGCTGGAGCCAACATCCAAAGTGTCATTAAGCTTGTTGTTCCTCAATACACTGACACCACATACCAAAGCAAATTGATTATGATTATAATGTTCATGACGTAAAATATATAACTAGAAATCAATTGTGTTTTAAAACTAGGGAGTTAACATTTGGATTACTTTGGTGTGTACACTGTTATATTGATGCAGTATTATAGGCCATTATTTCATATAAGATTAAACTAATATACTTACACAGTCTGTAATTGAGGAAGGCCGAAGAGAGCGGTGGGAATTTTACCTTGAAGTCCTACATTTTCCATCATCCTGCCAGTACAATGTTAGCTAGTGAATATTTGCAAGCACATAGACCACTCCAAGAATAAAATGAGGAAAAGAAGTGGATCAGTGGTAATGGAAACAATTCTATCCATCTTTGGTTTAATGATAAGCATCTTTCAAAGTTCTTGCAGCCAGATTATGAAAGATTGATTCCTAGTTCCTACTGTCCTACATCAATTTTTTCCCTTAAAAATGAATAGTTAGCTGACATCATCAAAGAAAATATGCAGGTTCCTATATCAAATCATCCTCATACATGTCAGGATGAAGCCTTATTGTCTCCAGCTCTCAATGGCATTTTTTTTCTTTTTTTCAATACTTTTAAAACTCTACCAGAGGCCCTACAACCATGTCCAATAGCAATCAATAATTGGTCCAAAAATCAAATTCCTACGCTGCCATGCATGCCTTCATTTCTGGCTCACTGGGGCTGTTTGGTGTGCAGCTTATATGAGCCTGCTTATAGCTTCTATTTTTATTTTGTGAGTCTGCACCAGATTATTTGGTGTAACTTCTTCTAACATCTTATTAGGCAAAAGTAGCTTAAAAATAAGCTGAAAAAAGCTTCTTATCTAGAAGCTTGGGGAGGAGTGCTTGTGGCTTTCGCTTTCTGATCATAAACTTTTAGTTTACAATAAACTGCACCAAACAGGTCTAAGCACTTTGTCAAAACCAGGGCTTGCCAATGGGAAAGGGAATCCTTGCCAACCCCGAAAAGCTTCCATGGTAACTTAGACAAATTTTTCCTCTCTCACAGACCAAGCAAATTCAACTTTTGCATTTGGATGAACAAACACTTGCTCACTTTCTTGCCTTTAATTGCAGTACTTTGGCTAAATCTCATTTTTCCTTCCTCAAAAGCTACATTGGGAATATTAGAGGTATTGAAAATGATGCTAATGGGTTTCTGTACAACAGATTTTTTTTTAATCTGCCTGTACAACAGATTGTAATTCTGTCTCTTTGAGAAAATCATAAATTGTAGAAGAGAAAGAATGTAGCTTTAGGTTGAAAACAATGCAAAACCAATAGTCAAATTCTTCTAAACATGAATGTTTATATCTAAGACACCACCCTATGATGCATGTTGTTTGCCAATTACCTAGTTCATCTGTCTGTGGATCTATATTCAGAGGTTCAAAGAAAAAGATATATAAAGGATATATGAAATAATGGAGGACGGATAGACAACATCGAAATTTGAATATGAGTGAGTCAAAGAATTAGAGGATGTCATGCAACTGGGAGTAAGGCAGAAGTTGAAGGCTCTTAGGCCATGTTTGATTCACAAGACTAATAGTGAGGTATTAATAATCTTATCAAAATTAGTGTGGTATTCACTATCCAATTGGATTAATAGGATAAATTATCCATTGGATTAATAATCCCACCCCTACCCCATTACTAATAATCCTACAAATTTGTTGGATTAATTATCCATTGGATTAATAATCCTAAACCAAAATGTTAAAACAGACATAGGATAATTGGGCCCACGGATTAATAATCCCAATCCCATGCTCTAATCCATCCAATCAAAAATGCCCTTAGTGTTCTTTATTCAACACATACATAATAAACTAAAGAGAGAAAAAAAAGAAAAAAAAAAGAAGCTCTATATGATCATGAGGTGAGTCATGCATTACGGCATAGCATGATTGGCTACCTGAATGCATATGCTTTGATAAATGACTGATAGAGGAGAAAAGATAGGTCTTCAAACAAATTGCATCACCCAAAACTAAGAAAAATATAAGAAAATTGGCTGCAATTGTTCAGTTATCTGTAGCAAATCCCAAGAGTACACTGGCAAGGAGTGAAATATTTTTAGTTGAAAATATTCCAAAGACAAAAAGAAGGCCAAAACAGATGATTACGATTGTGCGAAGAGGCATGATCACTATGATGCAACAAAACATAAGGTCCTAGATAAAGCTAACTCGTGGAAAAGAACCCTTGTAGCATTCCTTAAATAGTTCAAAGAAATCTTGTTAAGTTGTGTGTTTGTATGTGACAGCATGCATGCATGTTTGTTGACAGAGAGAGAGAGACGTACAATGTGGTCAATGTTGTCAAAGATTGTATGGTTGAAAACCATGCAGTAAAATCTGACCCGTTAAAAGAATTATTGCTAATAGACCTGCAAGTCACATTTTAGTCAATAGATAAATAAATTGGTATGTATCATGTATGGAATACAATAACAACAAGAAGGTGATGGCAAGAAAAGTAAATTTTCTTAGGAAGGAAAAAACAAGGAATTAATAAGATATCCATTAGAAAAGTGCTCGAGAATCATGATGCTTTTTCCTAAGTAAACAACATGGTAACTACTTACATGTAGTTCAGAGTGGCCATGCCTGTAAGATTGGGCAAGGAGCCAGACAGTTGATTGTTTGACAAGAACCTGAAAGTAGAAAAATCGAAAGTCTGTAATACTTAGTTGAAAATCGAATACAAATTAAGTTGTCTACCTAGAAACAAGTATAGATGCTTAAATCAGAAAAAATATTTGTTTTGTCTACTTACAGCTCTCGAACATTTACAAGGTTGTTGAGGTTCGGTGGTACAGACCCATTTAATAAGTTCCTATCAAGACGTCTGTAACAACAAAAGACACTCAATTCAAAACTTTCATGGAAATTCACAACTTTATGATTGTAGTTGGGTATGACATGGAGATACTCACAGCGCCTCCAAATTCTGCATTGATCCTAGCGTTGAAGGGATGTTGCCACTGAGTTGATTGCTGTCCAAAAGCCTGCTCAAATCATTTCACATGAAAGTACTGAAATTATTTTCTGTATTTAGGGTATTTTGTACGAGTATTGGGCTGCTAGAAAAATTAAACCCAACATTCCCCATTATATATAGAAAAAAATAATGTTCAACAAAGCGAACACACAAGACAATTCTAAGGTGTCATGTTTGTGTTGAACATGCTTCCAACAATTGGGGGACACACATGGTTATCACTTAAACACATTGAAAGTTTGAGGAAAATAATTTGGGATGCAATGATAATTTTTTGAAAAAAATTACTATAATTTATACCTATTAATCTCTCTACTTCAGAATTTTTTATTTTAGGAATTCTAAAACCAATAACTTCGACATTGTTTATGAATAAAGCTTTCTAAATTAGATATTAGGACTTCTTACTCTCACCTATAGAAAAATAATTTCTTACTATTTTGATTTAATAAAATATATATGTATTTGTAATGTAAAAAACAAGAAATAGTTATTATTTTTATGCATATAAATATATTTATTTGTTGAGTGTACCTACCTTCTTGTGTCCAGATATTGTGTCAACATGTTCTAATTGTGTCGTATCCGTATCCATGTTATTTAGTACATAAACAACACAGGAAAATATGTATATATTTACAAGGGAAAAAAAAAAAAAAAAAACACCTCTTAACATATGTTGTGTCTGTCTTACACTACAAAAGCTTTCGTAGATGCATAACCTCTTGTCCTATCATTCAAGTACATACTACTGACACTTTGGATAAATAACTAGATCAATAGAACTTACAAATGTATCAGACTCATGTTTGAACTGAAAAGTTTAGGTGGGATTTCGCCAGAGAGATTATTCTTTCCAAAATGACTGTACATAATAGAAAGGTCATTAGTATATGGAAATGAACAACATAGAAAGGACTAAACAGATTAAATACACACACATATAGAAATATTAGACATACAAGTGCATCGTTTTGACCAGCATATCCAGACCAGGTGTGGTCCCATTAGAGACAGGGATGGTTCCCTCAAGCTTATTGTCAGCCAGATCCAACCAATAAAGATTTGCTAGATTACCGATTGTAGGAGGTATCTTTCCAGTGAAGCGGTTGGAATTTAGAGCCCTGAAAGAATGAAAGCATTAAAATGTAGGCCAAGACGCAGAACTACACTGTAAAACATAGTAAGTTGTAAGACATTCAGTATATGCACACTTCAACTCAAAATTTCTGGAACTGAAACTTGCAAAAGCCTACTGGATGATACGAATTCAAAGAATGGAGCTTCTGATGCAAGATTTCAATGACCAAAAACAGATCCCAGATTCAATTTTTCTACTTTTTTAGACGCATGAAAGAGGATTAAGTTGTGGGAGTAGGTTTGAAAGGTGCAAATATTATGATTTCATAGGAAACCAACTTCCACACTCAATCCTCTTCAAGATCAAATTATTGAGGGAGCAGACAATTATTGTGTCAAAAGTATGTGGAAGGTAGTAGTTAATGTCCTATTCATTTTCTGATTATGTCAATAATTCCAGAGGGTGAAACAGTTTATCTGATAATTTGAGCTTGTTATGAGTTTGTTTAGAGTTCTGTCATTCCATGATTCCATCACAAGGGAAAACGAGCCTCATGCTGCTTAAGGAGTGAAAATTCCCATTTCTATTCATCGCAGGACTAACACCTAAGATGCAACATTCCTTCAACTATGAATTTCTAATCTCCTACCGAAAGCAGCTAAAATGGCAAAACTGTGCTGTCAATTTGACAAGACTTCAAATTAAGTTTCACATTTATAATTTCTCAATTTAAACAGAAGAAAAATACCAAAGTCCAAATGCTTACAACTTGACCAGCTGCTGCAGAGATCCTATTTCGTTAGGAATTGGACCAAAGAAATCGCAACCAACCAGGAGTCTGAGATGCAAGAAGAAGCAAGTGGTTGTTAACAACACATATATCCATCTGAGTAATCAGCCACCATACAACAACAATCAAAATTTTCTTACAGGTTTGATAGCTTTGTCAAAGCTCCAATTAATGCAGGAAGAGAACCTGTCAAGCCCGGGTTGTAAGATAGATCCCTATATGCAGAAACTAATAGTCAGAACTCAATTTTAACAATTCTTATGAGAGAACAAATAAATAAATAAATAACAACAACAATTTCAAAAAGCTAATGCTAATAAAGTAGGGACACTAGTGTCCAGGCAGTGTTTTCTACAACGCCAATCAGGCATTTTAAGTGACATGAACTGTAGAACCATTCTAGTGTGTCACTATTAGTATTGTGCATTTGTGATATAAAGTAATTAGGGAACTAACAAGTGTGTGCGAAGACATAAAAGATGAATTCCATTCTGGGAACATAGCTAATATGTACTAGATGTATATAGAAGTCAACAAGGAGCACGGATTGTTGATAAAGAATGGTGATCTTTGAAAAATCCAATTAAGTATAGTAGTCCAGAATGAACAATGGTAACTGAATGATGCTTCATTAAATAAAACTGTATCCATTCGTGGAAGCAAAGGAACCGTGAAAATAGAAGACCTACAGAGTCAGTAATTCAGACAACGATCCAATGTCTCCGGGCAGCTGACCAGTCAAATTCATGCTCGCTAATGTTCTGGCATTAAAACTGGTAGTTAACTTCAATTCTGAAAATGCAGAATAAGCAACTCTCCATAAGCATTTAAAAGGAGAAAAACACAATGGGGACTTACATAGCTGTCACACGTGAATTGGTGCACTGAATTCCTTCCCAATTGTTGTCACATGGATCTTGCCCAACCCAACTGGGTGGTGTGTTCTGCCAGGCATCTCTGAGAGCGCTTATAGCAGCAACTATATCATAGACAAAATAAAATTCCAGAGTTATATTGCCAAAAAATCTCAAACATAAACTCTCCAAGACATTCCTTGTAGATGAAAATATTGTAAGGGGAGAACCCCAAAATTTTTATTAGGATTCAGGAAAACCATAGCTTGGGACATGATAAACCAACTGCAGCCAGTAATCTATAAGCAGAAGGGACAGCTTTTCTAGAGCTCGCCCTCTTCTCAGATTTCATTTGACCAAATATTTTCTAGTTCAAGGAACTGCCTTGGTACTCGTATTACCACTTCTGAATTTAAATAGTCAGAGACCATTTGATATTAAAGAACTCAGACATCAAAAGATTGTTTTTAAGTGACCCCACTTTTGAATAATCAAGACCATTTCATGTTTCAGTTAAAGAACTCAAACATCCAAAGGTTGTTTGTGGCTCTCAGTGACCCCAAAATAGCATACAAATTGAGAAAAGTAAACTCACCCAGAATGGTATATACCCAATTTACTGCCTCATGTCTCCAGGGCCCCCAAAAAGAGTTAGCCAAGGGATGCCATTACGACTTAGTCTTAGAACAAAAAATAATAACAATCTCGGAAACTCACCCAAAATGATATATACTCAATTCATCGCCTTGCATCCCCACAAGGGACCTCCATCAAAAGAAAAGACTCACCCTAAGGTTGTTTTGGATCATGGATTTATGTAGAGAAAAGAAATAGGGAGGGAAATGTGAATGAATGAATATAAGCTAATATTTTTCACATTTCCCTCTCGTTTCCTTTATCCTCTACAAATCCCTATCCAAATCCATGATCCAAACATAGCGTAAAGAATGTCATTACAACTGGCTCACCCAAAAGAGTTAGCCAATGAGTTGTCATTTGGGTTCATTGCTCTTATTGATATACATACCCAAGATACCCATGCCAACTTAATGCAAACCAATGCTAGTCAGGAGTCAGGGTGATTACAAGAACTTACTGCTAAACAAGATAAAACATGGTAGCATATCTAAGACTTCTAGTTTTGGAAAGAAGTTAATGATTAGTAGGAATGCAACTATGTATTCCAGTTTGCATCCTTGCATAGTGAAAAGTATTCCCAGGCAAATTAGACAGCTTCAGAGAGAAATAGCTTGTCATAACCAATTAATGGGCATAGATCTAATCTTTTGATTGATGAAGCTTGAAAGGATTAGAGGAAATGACAACATCCACCAGTGAATTTCAGTTTAGTTCTCACAATCAGAAACAATAGAAAACATAATTGCTTCTCCTTTTATGAAGAATCAACCGCACAATAAATGGGGTGTGAAAAGAAAGAAGCCAGAAAGAGTTCAAGCATATACTATCCTAACATCAGCTAAAGAACTGTTGTGTTTTCTGGAGAATCCATTAACTAACAAGCAGGGATGTATTCTTGTTTGTATTAACCAAAGCATGGAAAAGCTAAGAACAGAGATTGAAGCTCTCTTTATGCATATATCATTAAACACTAATATAACTAGTGATGCCAATAAACTAAAAGCTTGGACATAAGAATTGAACTTACCATCCTGAGGATTCGTAAACGCCGCCACAAGTAAAATTTGGACAGAAATAACCAGCAGAAAGACCTGAATTCTTGAACCCATTATTCAAGAAAGAAACATAACTTTTTTGAAACTCACAGAATTAAAAGGAACCACTTTGAAACCACCCAATTTCTTTTATTCTGTTTCCTTCTGTTCATTATTAGAAGTATTCAAGAGAAGAAATTTTCTTCATATTTACCCATCTACTTGACTATTCAACATTCATATCTGCAGTACATTAATACAACCGTGTCTGGCCGCCACCAACTCACCCCAAATATTAAATAACATCCCATATACACAATTTGAGTTATTCAAATTAACTGCAATACAACAACTACACCCTATGACCTAATTTCCATCATCTTTTTTACAATAAAAAATTAAAAAAAAAAAAACCCTGGTCAGTTAGGGTTAATTGTTGGCACCTAAGTCAACAATATAAACTAATTTTATTTCTTTTTTAAATATTGAAGGCTTGGCAAGAGAAAACCCACAAGTCTTTATTGGTAGGCTGTTGTTGATATTTGTTTGAGTCTTCCACTAGAAAAAAAGAAAGAAAGATTCAAGGCACCATCAGCAAAATTACGGACATGGGTAAGTTTTATTTTTCACTGCAGATTAGTCAATCAGTAACTTTTTCTAAAGAAATTACTTTCCTAATCATTGATGGTGAAGTATTCAAACAAGTTGCCAATTGAAAATCATGTGAACAATCACACGTGATTTAAGACTTTTTTGATTGGGGGTTGTGTCAATGTAACTTGAGCAGGTAATATATATATAAGACTTTTTTTATTTGGAATTGTGCCAACGTAATTTAGCAGGGCCATTTCCATAAATAAGTTAAAATAGTACAGGAATTTTCAAACTAAGCCTAGTTTTGAAAAAAAATTTAGAATAAGCTAACTCGCGGTTCACAATCGCGAGTTTAACAAATTTTTTCCCATTTCGCGTGAAAGTTCGTAAATCTTAAATTCGGGGTTGTGTCAATGTAACTTGAGCAGGTAATATATATATAAGACTTTTTTTATTGGGAATTGCGCCAACGTAATTTAGCAGGGCCATTTCTATAAATAAGCTAAAATAGTACAGGAATTTTCAAACTAAGCCTAGTTTTGAAAGAATTTTTAGAATAAGCTAACTCGCGGTTCACAATCGCGAGTTCAACAAATTTTTTCCCATTTCGCGTGAAAGTTCGTAAATCTTAAATTCGTGGTTACGAAAAGCGATTTTGATTAAGAAATCGCGGTTACAAAACGCGATTTTATTCAAAAAAAAAATTTCTTTTAAACTCGTGGTTCTAAACCACGATTTTATAAAAAAAAAATTTCTTAAACTCGCTATTTCAATCTACACTTTTTGACCAAAATCTTATCTTCTGAACTCGTGGTTGTGAACCACGAGTTCGTTTATAACAAAAACCACACCACACCACACACTCACAGCCACAGCCACAGTCATAGCCACACCATACACTGTCTCTCCCTCTCTGACACATCACTCACACACACATCACACTTACATCAAAATAAAAATAAATAAATTTTAAGAATTAAATAAATATAAATAAATAAATATATTATTGGAAAAATATATTATTTTTTTCAAATAAATTTTTTTCAATTGTTTTTTTAATTAATTTTTTTTCCAATTAAATTTTTTTCTAATTTAATTTAATTGGAAAAAAATTTAATTGAAAAAATATATTATTGGAAAAAAATTTAATTGGAAAAGTATTATGGGGAAAATATATTATTGGAAAAAAATTTAATTGGAATAATATATTTTCCCAATTAAATTTTTTTCCAATAATATATTTTCCCCATAATATATTTTTCCAATTAAATTTTTTACCAATTAAATTAAATTAGAAAAAAATTTAATTGGAAAAAAAATTAATTAAAAAAACAATTGAAAAAAATTTATTTGAAAAAAAAATATATTTTTCCAATAATATATTTATTTATTTATATTTATTTAATTTTTAAAATTTATTTATTTTTATTGTGATGTAAGTGTGATGTGTATGTGAGTGATGTGTCAGATAGAGGGAGAGAGAGTGTGTGGTGTGGCTGTGGCTGTGAGTGTGTGGTGTGGTGTGGCTTGTGTTATAAACGAACTCGTGGTTCACAACCACGAGTTCAGAAGAAAAGATTTTGGTCAAAAAGCGTGGATCGAAATAGCGAGTTCAAGAAATTTTTCTTTTATAAAATCGTGGTTTAGAACCACGAGTTTAAAAGAAATTTTTTTTTTGGATAAAATCGCATTTTGTAACCGCGATTTCTTAATCAAAATCGCTTTTCGTAACCACGAATTTAAAATTTACCAACTTTCACGCGAAATGGGAAAAAATTTGTTGAACTCGCGATTGTGAACCGCGAGTTAGCTTATTCTGGGAATTCTTTCAAAACTAGGCTTAGTTTGGGAATTCCTGTACTATTTTAGCTTATTTATGGAAATGGCCCAATTTAGCAGGTAATGTATACATATATGCATAACTCCTCGTTTGATAATTTTCTGTTTTAATTAAAAAATTATTATAAATAGTCATATCATTTTTTATTTTTTTTTATATTTTTTTATAAAAAATTATTAAAACAATATATTCCTAAACGGGTATGCTGGGTTTATAGTTCCGTACCAAAAGTTGGAAAAGCTTTTGAATCCTTCAGGGAGGCTTCCCTCTCTGATATGGGTATTTTGGGAAGTTGGTAAAGAATTTATTTTTGACTTTTAATTAAATTTTTTAATTTTTTGAAAAGTGATTTAGGAAGTTGATAAAAAGACAACTTTTGACTTTTTAGTTTAATATTTATTTATAGTGTCAAATCAAATTAAAATGATATATTCCTAAACGGGTATGCTGGGTTTATAGTTCCGTACCAAAAGTTGGAAAAGCTTTTGAATCCTTCAGGGAGGCTTCCCTCTCTGATATGGGTATTTTGGGAAGTTGGTTAAGAATTTATTTTTGACTTTTAATTAAATTTTTTAATTTTTTGAAAAGTGATTTAGGAAGTTGATAAAAAGATAACTTTTGATTTTTTAATTTAATATTTATTTATAGTGTCAAATCAAATTAAAATGATCAAAATATCCTTATCCAACATAAAAAATTTATTTTTTTATTTTTTTACCATAGGCCTCAATTTGTAATCTCACACTTACTTTTTAAACACTTTTCAAACCAATTTTGTTACGTTTTTACCACTTACGTTTTTAGATATTTTGATGAAAACGTGACTTTTAATTGTGGTTTTCAAAACGGCACTGAAACGCACGACATTTGTTTATTCATTTGTCAACCAAACCCCACCTAAAGTTGGAAAAGCTTCTGAATCGTTCAGGGAAGCTTCCCTCTCTGAAACACACAACATTTGTTTATTCATTTGTCAACCAAACCCCAACCCCCGGCGGGGCGCTCTCTCTCTCTAGTAGGGGTGAGCAGCGGATATATTGATCCGTCAAAACTGATCGAACCGAATCGATTCGTCGCATTTTGGACGGATGCGTGATGACGAGCGGATGGTTGCGGATTGATTTTCTCAAATCCGCCAATTTGGCGGACGGATGGTGGATTTGAGATTTTTTGGCCGCAACCGAACCGCCAAACCGCCAAATCGCGAGCACCCCTAGTAATTTATAAGATTTTGTATTTTCAATTTGATTAAATATTATGTTTGTGTTTTCAATTGAAAAAGAGTTTAAATATTCTATTGAAAAAAAGTTTTCAACTAGAATATATTTTTTGAATTGAAAAAAATAAACGTATTGTTCATATATATATTTTAGTTTTTAAATGTAACTCTAAAAATAATAAATAGAAAATATGATATATGCTGGTTGGTTTTTGTTTTCAAAAACATATGTAGATGTAACAATACAGAGACATTCAATCTCTACTACTGCTTTGTTCATGGTTTTGGTGGTTTGAATTGTTATTATATTTTAAGAATCACAGATTGTAATACTTTATGGGGATGAATCATGCTGTGATTGTAATATGTGGATGAGGCATGCAGTGATCGTGATATTCTAAAGTTTCAAACTTTTTTTCTTTGGATAAGGCATACAATGATTGTAATACTTTTTTTAAGTCATTGACTGTAATACTTTCTTTTTCTTTTTTTTCTTTTTTTTTGTTTGAGGAAGTGTACAAGTTGAATTATGTTGAAAATTTATAAAATTTTAAACCGCCAAACCGATTCGCATCCATCCGCCAAACCGCCAATCCGCTCAATCCACATTCGCCGAATTGGCGGACGGATGTGGATTGATTTTTTTCAATCCGTCAATCTGGCGGACGGATGGCGGATTTGAGGTTTCGTGGCCGCAACCGACCCGCGCCCACCCCTACTCTCTAGAAAGTTTTGTTTTTTTTTTTTTTTTTAATTTTTTTTTAAACATGTTATGAGTGGATTTGGGCATTACTATTATGCATTTGTTTGATAAACAGGGTTGAAATTAGTTAGAAAATGAGGGGAATACTAACTTGTTTAGGAAAATACTTGTTATCATATATTATTTTTAAGTTATATTATTTATGAGGTTGATTATTATAAAGAAAAAGATTGAGGCCTCGAATTTGAGGCCTCGAATGTGGCTAAAATTGCTTTTTTTTTTTTTTTTTTTTTTAAAATTTGTTTGTTTTTTTTTTTTTTTTTTTTTTTTTTTTTTGTTTTTTTGTTTTTTTTTTTTTTTTTTTTTTTTATTCGTTGGGTTGTGTTAGTTTAATTGTTTTTATTTATTTATTGGGCTGCTGTAATTTTATTTATTTATTTATTTATTTTTAAAGGATGGTTATGTGTAGGGGTGGGTTTAGAGTTTAAAATTTAAGGTTTAGGTTTTTATTTCTTCTGAGTTTTTCTTATTTGAAATAAAAATATAGTAAGGATTCGTACAAAATTATATGAAATTAACAAATTTTAACTAGCAGTCTAACTGATCAGTCAATTTTATCACCCAATCAATCTAACCCAATTGTTTTTTTTTTTTTTTCTATTTGTTGGGCTATGTTGGTTTTATTTTATTTTATTTTATTTTATTTGTTGGACTGTGTTGATTTATTTATTTTTTTATTAGGATTTAGGTTTTAAGATACACATAAAAAACTTTTCAAAAAAAAAACAAAACCAAACCAACATAGAAAAAAAAAAAAAAAAAACAGACAAAACAACTTTTCGATGCAAATTCGTGCCTCCAATTTCGAGGCCTTTAGCACGGTTCTTATTATAAATGATATAACTCAATACTATAAAAGTCATAATTAAATAAAAAATTGAATCATAACTAAATATCACATAAGGTATAACTAAATAATTCTGTAATCATAACCAAAATTTTGCCATAACCAAAATCACAATATGTTATAATTTATAACACAATATGTCATAGCTACTCACTCAAAGGCCGTAACCAAAGGTACATATG